GGTGCGGGGCCTCGGGCAGGGCATCCCCCCCCCCCCCCCACCTCCCTTCCGCCCAGCACAGCACCCCCGGTGAACCAGACAGCGCGGCCCTTAATTGCTCCCGCGGAATTAATCAGGGGGGAACACGGATTTGGTTCAGCTTCGCCATGTATTTGCGGTGAGAACAACGAGCACAAAATGCTTTTACAGCGGGTGGGAGGCACGGAGATGCTCGCGCGCAAGGTGCTGTGCCCGTCCGTCCGCACTGGCGCCGCGTTGGCTTCGCCTCTGCCAAACGCTCGGCTCCTTCCTCCTACCCACTCCTGCTGCACTCAGGCGGGCAGGAACCTCCTTGCGCGAAGACGTACGGTTACTGGTTTGCGTCGCAGTGATACTTTTTCCTTTGTTGTTGAAATTTGTTTCATATTTATTTTTGAGGAAACACAACTGTCACGGTAATAAACAACACATCACCTTGCACAATGGGAGCAGCTGGAGAAACGATGGAGACCGGGCAGCTCCGCTTGCGCCGCGGCGAGCACAGCCCCAGCCCGGTTGCAAGCACGACACACATTGCTCACTCCCGGGTGTCGCCTCCTTATCTCGCCTAAAGCGCCGTCTGGGTCACCTCCATCTGAATGGAGTTGTGCTCCTCCGAGGTCACTGTGCCGTACGAAGTATCGGCCACCTCCTCTTCCTTCAGTTTCTTGTAGGAAATATCCGTGTCTTCCTCTTCACCGAGCGTATCTTGTTTGTAGCTCTCTTTTCCACACATCTTGTATACCAGCACAAAGAGTCCCGCTTCTGCCGACTGAAAAAGCGCGTAAAGCAAGGGAAACATGTACATGCTCCCTATGAGCTCTGGGGGGAAGGTGAGTTTTAGGATGGCGGTGCAGAGCTGGACGTTTTGGCACCCTGTTTCCAAAGACACTGTTCTCCTGCAGTGTGGGGGCATTTTAAAGACGGTGGCTAAGCCGTATCCCAAGGCGTATCCCGCTAGAGGCATCAGCACCGCAATGGCGTAGACAGATGCAGGAATATGTGCTATCAGATCTGGGCCCAGCATGGTCCCAGTCAGGATGAACAGGATCACCAGAGTCACCAAGAGGGACCACAAGGAAATCTGACAACAGATACAGACATTGATAAACAACACGGGGGTTATTAGTTTAAAAACATAAGCATAGCAGGTAGAGGCTTGATAGTCTAAACTGCAAAACATGGTTGCACTGCCCTTTCCGGGTTTGCTCCTGGCTCGAGACTTTGGTGGTATTTGATCATATCCCGGGAAAGGAGAGGGCTGAGATCACCATCCACCACCTTGCTTTGGGGTGGCTTGCTGGGAAACTAGAGAGCCAGGGCTTGTGCTTCACTTTTCCTTTAGTAATTAACCTGATTTGTTTGCCTGTTGTTGCTGTGCCTGTGGGTTGGTTTTGCTAACCCTGAGCGCAGCAGGAGCAGGGAAGAGAGCAGGATGCGGGGGAATGCCTCTGCTCCAGGGCCCCGGGGTGTCTCCCGGGGTGCAGTGCCGCGCTGCCCTCCTTCCCGTGTGCTGGGGGGGGGAACCAGCCCTCTCCCTCACTTTCCGACTCTGCCCCGCCGTTTCATTTCAAGGCTTCTAAGTCCTTATATTCCACCTAAAGGAGTGGAATATGCCTGTGTGAAGCTACCATCGGTTCGGAGGGACCAGAAAGGTTACTGCCGCTGGACACCCCCCTCCTGCCCCGTGGCCGGTGCATCCCCAGCCATCCACCGCAGCGCGGCCGTCCGTGTCCGCCCCCCCCGTCTCCCCGGGGCCGTGCCTACCTTAACCAGGAGGTCGGCGGCGCGGGGGTGCCGGTATCGGATGAGCACCCCCAGGCCGATGGGCAGCAGGGTGCTGCCCAGCGTCAGGCTCACCGCCCCCAGGGGCAGCAGCTGCACCAGGGCCGTGTTGATCCAGTGGCGGCTGTAGACCCAGAGGCAGAGGGGCATCAGGAAGAGGGCCAGCAGCGTGGACGAGGCCGTCATGATAATGCTGTGCCGGGGGACAGCAGCGAAGAGACACCGGATCACCGCCCGCCCCGCCGGGGGGGGAGGCGGGGGGCAGCCCCGGGAAGCCGCAGCCCCCGCGGGAGGGGGGTTCTGCAGCCGGCCGGGGCGTTTCTCACGGCAAGAGCCCCTCTCCCCCCCACCCCCCCGCCGCCCCGGCGGGGGCGCAGGCAGGCAGGCTGGCTTTTCAGGGAAGGGGGCAGCAGGCGTGGGTCGGGGTCCGTGTAAGAGCCGCCCGCCCCGGGAGAGGCAGGAGAGCGGCGCCGGGGGCTCCCAGCCGCGCCGTGCCCGTCCGTCCGTCCCGTCCCACCGCCGGTGGGTGCCCAGCAAACCCGCCCCGCGTCCCGAGGCCGCCGCAGCCCCCCGGCCGGCTGGGGCCGAGGGGGAGCGGGGCGCCTACCTGAGGTTCATGTCCCCGTCGACGAGCACCGACATGAGGTTGGAGAGGTTGCCCCCGGGGCAGCAGCCGCACAGCAGCACAGCCACGGCCGCCACCTCGTCCAGGGCGAAGATGAGGGCCAGGAGGAAGGCCAGCAGCGGCATGGCCACGAACTGCCCCAGCAGCGCCAGCAGCAGCCCCACGGGCCGCCGCAGCTGCTGCCCCAGCTGCCCCAGCTCCACGGCGCAGCCCAGCCCCAGCATGGTCACGCAGAGCGCCAGCCCCACCAGCACGCTCAAGCCCTGGCTGAGGGAGCGGTCCCCGAAAGCCTCGCCGCCCCCCGCCACCGACCCGCCGTCGGGGCCGCC